CCCCGTTTCTGCACGCAACCAGAGGCTCTCAGCTGGGAGGTGGGGCTGCGATTGGCGCTGGGAGCCTCTGGTGTGCAGAAGCAGGGCGGGGGCAGTGGCTGGGAGTCCCTAATTTTGAGGCTTCCCTGCAGTGTAGATGTGCTATTTTGAAATAAGCTATTTTGGAATAACTTTCTGGAGAGGCAAGGGCCAGGGCCGAGGCCTGGGCCTGGGAGTACAGCGAGTCCATACCCCCTTGCCAATGATGAGTGGCCATTTCAGACAGCAGTTTGCCCCTGAGGTAAGGGGCTATGAAGACTGGCAGTGGGTCACTAAGGGAAGATGGGCATTGGGGCTTTGGCAGTGTGACAGGGCAGCACCCAGAAGGGAGAACATCATGGTCTGGGAGGGACATGGGTCCTAATACCTGTTTTCCTCTGTCTCTGTGTAACTACAGGCATGGCACCAGCTGGAAGGGGGCACTCCAGTGCTGAAAAGCTAATTCCCAGAGTATCCAGCAGGAGGTGCTTGCAGCGGTGAGTCCCGCTGTGCTACAGTGGGGCTTGCTGGAGTAGCATGATTTCCCACAACCTGTTCTGAAAATGATTTTATATCCTTAATTTTGAAACCGTAGACCATGAATGACTGTTCTAGTTATTATCCTCCATTATACTAAGTATTGCTATCATAGATGAGTGAATGAAGATACTAACTGTAAAACCACAGTAATCATTCTCATTGCTAGATCAGAAGAACTGCTTCATTTATAAGTGCACTATAATAAAGTCATCTTAATTAAATGGAGATAGCAGTCTAGGTGTTTTATAGATTTAATTATCTTAGCGCCAAATTATTATTCTTTTGCCAGAAGAGTCATTCAACAGGGTGGGCCAGAGGCTTCCATTTAAAAAATATGGCTCTGGTTAAAATATTTTGCCTATTGGTTTATCCACTTTGTACAAAATGAAATGGCTCTTCCCCTGGAAGTTTTAAATTAGACAGATGTCAGTGTACTAACATACCAGTTTTAGGCTATAGTCCTGCAAATCCACCACACAATATCTTTATGCACGTGAATACTGACAGGTTTAATGGAACTACTCATGTGTGACTTTATTTATGTGCATACCTGTTTTGCAGGTTAGTCAGCGTTTCTGAAATACAAATGCAATTTTTTGGTACTTAAAATGCTAATGTATGATGGATATTAGATTGTAGGATGGGATCACTATACAGCATTTGCAATGGAAGTGGCACAAGTCATCTGTGCAAACTGACCAGGATTGTGGGAGGCTATATACCTTGAGCATGGAGGCTATTTCGTCATGCCCGTGGGAGAAGAGAAAGAGGTTTCTTTCCTATAGAGCTCCTAGTATTGTTTGTATTCTGCATAGAAGCCCCAGGTGAGATCAGGGCCTCATTGTGCTAGGTGCTTACAAGCACATAGGGAGTGTCACTGCCCCAAAGAGATTATAATCTAAGTATACAAGACAGGTATAAAGATGGGGGAAAGAAAGGATAATTACCTCAATTTATAGTTGGGGAACTGACCCACAGTGGGAATGATTGTCCATAAAGACCTTGGCCAAGCTACAAAGCCCACTGAATGGGGATGAGGGTGTGTGTGTGCAAAGAGGACAAGTATCCTGGTGCACAGCAATTTAAAAGGGCCTATGGTTTTTGGCCCCCACTGCAGCATCAATAGCAGCAGCCAGAACCGTAGGCCCCTTAAACCGGTGCTGGAGCGCCAGGCAGTGCATACCGGGTGGCACTGAAGGGCTAGGTGTTGGAGGCCCTTGCTCAGGGCCTGGTAAAGACTGTTGGCTGCCTAGATGAGCCTAGTTCTCCTACATCCCAGTCTAGTACCATTAACCGCAAGGTCATTCTTCCCCTCAGCACGCATCCTTCTCATTTCCCCCCAGCATAAAATCGACCTACATAATGGAAGAGATGACTTGTCCAAAATGACAAGAGTTTTTTTTAAACTTCAGATATTGGCCATAAACAAGAATAGGATACCAGCTTTGATAGACTTATTGTCTGAGCTGGTATGGAAAATCATATTTCCATACGAAAAGAGAGGAAATGCACAGTTTTGATGAACAGTAAGAAAACCACATCAGATGCATGCTGTTTTATTTTTATAGGTTCGTAGTCTTTCTCTCCCATCTTTTGCCATGTATCTGTACACTGTAATCTCTGGCTTGCATGTGTAATTAACATCTATTAAAAGGGTGTCCCTATTTTGTCTGGGATTTCTAGGGAGTACTGTAGTATCTCAGAATTTAAGACTAGAAGAAACCTATTTTCATAATCTAGGCTAACTTCCTCTATAGCTAAGGCCACTGAATTTCAGTTAGACACATATGAAGTCAAATATTCTTTCTTTTATACTTCCTAAGTTGGAAATTATTGGGGTTTTTTTGGAAAAAAAGACATGCTGAAAATTGTTCCATATGTAGATCTTTATTTTCAGAACCCTTCCAGCAAAATGCTTCTTGAGCTGATCCTACTACAGCTCCAATTTCAGGAGTAGTTTCTGCTTATTTTTATATTGAAGAACCCAACCCCCTTTTAATCAGTTTCCTATTTTAGCTGCATCTGTCTACAAAGGAAGTAAATACTAAGTTTTACTTCTAAGGGCATGTCTTCATTATGGGCTGGATCAATGGGGTGGTAATTGATCCAAGGGGGTTGATTTATCGTTTCTATAGGGCTTCGTCTACACTACAAGTTTTTTGGAAGAACATATGCTAATGAGGGACTCATTAGCATGAGTCACAATTTCACTAGCATATTTTCTGCCCTTTCTTTTTGTGCAAAAAGAAGCAGTGTGGCCTTTTTTTTTTTTGCGTTAAAACCCTGTTTTGCGCAAGATCCTTATGCCTGTCCTGGTTTTTGCACAACCCCCTCCCCCCCCAAAATGTCCACACTGCTTCTTTTTGTGCAAAAACCCCTTGAAAAAAAAGAAACAGCAGAAAATATGTCATTGAGATCGTGACTCATGTTAATGAGTCCCACATTAGTATATTTTCTGCAGAAAAAGCTCGTAGTGTAGACGTAGCCTAGGTGTGATAAAATACCAAGCACTCTTCTGTCAACTCTGGTACTCCACCAGATGGAGAAATGCAGTCAGAATTGATGGGAGACATCAGGGGTTGACTCAGACAACAGCAGCGAAGACACTGCAGTAAGTAGCTCTAATGGGCTTCAGCTATTTATTCATGTAGCTGAAATTGCATAACTTGGACAACCGTGTAGACAATAGTGTAGACTAGGCCTAACCTTTTGTTGATGGTTTCTATGGTATGTAGAGTAGTTTGAGGTCTGCTTGGCTTTTTCTATCTTCCCAACACCTAGCTATATGGTCTTGATCTTTCAATTTTTCAGGTATGTATAATTTTATTACCTCACCTCCCTTGTCTCTAATATCCTAGGACTTACAGAGCTACACCTACATTACAATTGTATGCAGGAGAAGTGGCATTGAAATGACACATGTATACCAAGCAGGAGCATAAATGTTTACAGAATCTGGCCTTTGAATGTTCCTCAGGAATATGAAAAGTAGTACTGTAAATAAATAAATAAGGCTAACACAATCTACCAAAGGATGCATCTCCCAATAATTAACCATAATCAATACGATCCCACAGGAGCTGCCCCTCATCAGCTGTTGAAGACTGTGGATTTAGGCACTGGGCAAGTCATTACACAAGCTACTGTGTGATTCCTCCCCCGCGTTTCTCCTTCCAGAGGTTACATCAGTTTGTTATACAACACGACTTAAAAAGAAATCAAATAGAAGCCCAGAGGAGGAAGCGTATCTTGTCCATCAGGCGGTCGCTCAGCTGCGTCGGCCAGCAGGGGGCGCCCAAGTCCTGGCAAGCGGCTCCAGCGCGGCAAGAGGCGAGTGGGGCAGGGTGTGCTGGCGCCTCAATTGCCTCGCAGCAGGGAGGAGCCTCCAGCCCCTTTCCCTGCAGCCGGGGCTCCCAGGTAGAGGGCGCTGCGCGGCAGGGGGGGCTGGGGGGGGGGGAGGGGAGGTCCCCCGGGAGCCGCTGGAGGAGGATGCGCTCAGAGCCGCGCCATGGGGAGCTGGCAGAGGAAGGGCAAAGCGGTGCTGCCGGCAGAACAGACTGCCCTGCCCTGCAGCCCCGGCCCGGAGCAGCTCCACCGAGCAGGTATGCAGCCCGCCCCTTGGGAGGAGGGGGGAGCCGGGCAGGAAGGGCGCAGGCTTGGTTCCCCGCGCAGAAAGTTCACTCTGCCCAGTGCCCCTACCTGCAGGCAGCCGCTCCTCAGCCCGCGCCTTCCCACCTGCTCGCAGCTCTGCCTGCGGCACCCACCTCTCGCTCTTCCTTTGGGAGTGTCTCGGGTGAGATGTTCCGCCCCGCCACCGACTAGTGATTTTGGTCGGTTTGAGATTCCTTAAACGGGCCTGATTTGCAGAAGCTGCCTGCACTAGGTTGAAATCACATTAGCATGCCCCTGGTGTGCTGAGTCATGCCACTGGCACTCACATTCCAGCTCTCTGGGGGCTCCCGTCACCCTGTCCTGCTGGGCCAGATCCTCTGGTCTTCCCCAGCCAAGGCACAGAGTTGGGGTTACCACCTCCTGTAGAGCAGCACAGGCACTGAACCAGTGCAGTTCTTAGAGGGCTCAGCACCCAGGAAACCAACCCCCAAATGAGACCAGAACCCCAACAAATCTGCTTTACACAGAGAAAACTCATAAATCCATCCCCTTTAGCAATGAAATTAAGATATGTTCTAGGGTTGTAAATGAGTAGTCCACTACCTGATAAGCTCAGGCTTATCTGGTAAGCTACTCAACTAGTTGTTTCCCTATGCCTTGCTGCTTCTGATACAGAGACGGGCTGGAGGAGGGAGAAGCAGGAGCCAGTGCTAAGGGGATCTGGCTTAAGGCTTCTCCCAATACCATCTCCGGGGTGCACTGGAGGTAAGAGGTAGAGTCACAGTGGTCCTGGCTCATGCCACCCAGCAACCCAGGAGGGCTTTTACTACATTTAAAGTGCAGCGTCACACTGGAAGCACTCCTCCCTTATTGACTATTCAAGTACTCGATCAGTTAATTGATACTTAACATCCCTAATAGATACAGTGCTTGTTTCCCCACCTTATAACTGTTTACACTGGACTTGGTAATAAACAAAGTGTTTTTTATTAAGTATAAAAAGTAGGATTTAAGTGGCTACAAGTGAAAACAGTCAGATCAAAATAAGTTGCTAAATTAAAATGAATAAACATGTTTCTAATCTGCTAAGAAAAGCGTTACATGCACATTCTTACCCTGAACAGTTGTTCTAAACATCTTTCTCAAGATAAGCAGCCTCCTAGCTTAAAAGACTGCTTCTGCCCTCCACCCACCTCTGATACAGAGGTAGTACTTGGGAGGGGTACAGGGACCTTAACTGTTAATGAGCCCAGGCTCTTTGATTAATCATATACACATTATCTAATGTAGAGTAAAGCAAAATACATTTTAAATGTTATATTTTAATAGGACATTCAAGACTGAAGGAAACTTTTAAAAACTGCAATGTTTTGCATTACGGAAAATTTTTTTACTATGCAGGGCTCCCACCTCTGAAGTTGGATAAGGGTGGTGTGGTGGTGGTGGTGGCGGTGGTTGTTGTTGTTGTTGCCATAGAACATTTTTATATTTATGATACTTGGAGAATGGTCAAGATGAAAACACTTTCGTAGTTCTGTAAAATAAAGTAAACCACTTTGCATGTTTTATACACAGCTTCCCCAGAAACACAGGGTACAGAGGAGATTTGCTGAGTGTGACCAGGTTCATATTAAAAACAAAGCAAAATGCTAAGGGATACTACACTGAACCTTTAGGCTCAGATCTGTATGAAAGTGAAGCTGTGCTCAGTCATCATTCCCCCAGCTTCTCTAGCTTCCCCACTTATTCCAGATGGGTAGTTTATTTATCTCTTTTGGGGATGCAACTGACCTCTCTCTGAAGTCCTGTCAAACTCTGCTCAGATTGGAGAATATGCTTGCAAAATGTGATTATTCCTACTGAATGGTGAACAGTGGAAGCCCATCCCCATCATGACCTGCTTATTAGTTTCCTCCATCTTACTAGTTTCCTCTCTTTATCTTTTACGTTATAAACTCTTTGTGTCAAAGACTGTCCTTAACGATTTTTGTACAATGGGGAAACCTGTGTGTGGTCATAGATGCTACCATAATTATATATTTTTCTGGCAGATGGATTTGGGAAGGGGTGTGTGAGTCGATACTCTATACATTTCTCCCAGCTATCATGGAGTGGTGTGAGGGGGAGTATTGGATTTGCAGCTTCTGCTGTTTCCATTCACACTTGGAGCTGCAATCCAGGAGTGTCCTGACTGCACAGGTCCAGGGCACAATCTAGCTTTAATATAAAATTCTACAATACTAGACGGTGGATGCAGAGACATTCAGAAAAACAGCAGTACAGTATAGCACTTCATTTGGTCTTGACAGCAGAAACACAGATGTCACAAGTCTTTATTTAATCTGTGCAGGTTTTCATAATTAATTTCATAATTAAAATCGTTAACTCTGCCCAGTGCCCCTACCTGCAGGCAGCCGCTCCTCAGCCCGCGCCTTCCCACCTGCTCGCAGCTCTGCCTGCGGCACCCACCTCTCGCTCTTCCTTTGGGAGTGTCTCGGGTGAGATGTTCCGCCCCGCCACCGACTAGTGATTTTGGTCGGTTTGAGATTCCTTAAACGGGCCTGATTTGCAGAAGCTGCCTGCACTAGGTTGAAATCACATTAGCATGCCCCTGGTGTGCTGAGTCATGCCACTGGCACTCACATTCCAGCTCTCTGGGGGCTCCCGTCACCCTGTCCTGCTGGGCCAGATCCTCTGGTCTTCCCCAGCCAAGGCACAGAGTTGGGGTTACCACCTCCTGTAGAGCAGCACAGGCACTGAACCAGTGCAGTTCTTAGAGGGCTCAGCACCCAGGAAACCAACCCCCAAATGAGACCAGAACCCCAACAAATCTGCTTTACACAGAGAAAACTCATAAATCCATCCCCTTTAGCAATGAAATTAAGATATGTTCTAGGGTTGTAAATGAGTAGTCCACTACCTGATAAGCTCAGGCTTATCTGGTAAGCTACTCAACTAGTTGTTTCCCTATGCCTTGCTGCTTCTGATACAGAGACGGGCTGGAGGAGGGAGAAGCAGGAGCCAGTGCTAAGGGGATCTGGCTTAAGGCTTCTCCCAATACCATCTCCGGGGTGCACTGGAGGTAAGAGGTAGAGTCACAGTGGTCCTGGCTCATGCCACCCAGCAACCCAGGAGGGCTTTTACTACATTTAAAGTGCAGCGTCACACTGGAAGCACTCCTCCCTTATTGACTATTCAAGTACTCGATCAGTTAATTGATACTTAACATCCCTAATAGATACAGTGCTTGTTTCCCCACCTTATAACTGTTTACACTGGACTTGGTAATAAACAAAGTGTTTTTTATTAAGTATAAAAAGTAGGATTTAAGTGGCTACAAGTGAAAACAGTCAGATCAAAATAAGTTGCTAAATTAAAATGAATAAACATGTTTCTAATCTGCTAAGAAAAGCGTTACATGCACATTCTTACCCTGAACAGTTGTTCTAAACATCTTTCTCAAGATAAGCAGCCTCCTAGCTTAAAAGACTGCTTCTGCCCTCCACCCACCTCTGATACAGAGGTAGTACTTGGGAGGGGTACAGGGACCTTAACTGTTAATGAGCCCAGGCTCTTTGATTAATCATATACACATTATCTAATGTAGAGTAAAGCAAAATACATTTTAAATGTTATATTTTAATAGGACATTCAAGACTGAAGGAAACTTTTAAAAACTGCAATGTTTTGCATTACGGAAAATTTTTTTACTATGCAGGGCTCCCACCTCTGAAGTTGGATAAGGGTGGTGTGGTGGTGGTGGTGGCGGTGGTTGTTGTTGTTGTTGCCATAGAACATTTTTATATTTATGATACTTGGAGAATGGTCAAGATGAAAACACTTTCGTAGTTCTGTAAAATAAAGTAAACCACTTTGCATGTTTTATACACAGCTTCCCCAGAAACACAGGGTACAGAGGAGATTTGCTGAGTGTGACCAGGTTCATATTAAAAACAAAGCAAAATGCTAAGGGATACTACACTGAACCTTTAGGCTCAGATCTGTATGAAAGTGAAGCTGTGCTCAGTCATCATTCCCCCAGCTTCTCTAGCTTCCCCACTTATTCCAGATGGGTAGTTTATTTATCTCTTTTGGGGATGCAACTGACCTCTCTCTGAAGTCCTGTCAAACTCTGCTCAGATTGGAGAATATGCTTGCAAAATGTGATTATTCCTACTGAATGGTGAACAGTGGAAGCCCATCCCCATCATGACCTGCTTATTAGTTTCCTCCATCTTACTAGTTTCCTCTCTTTATCTTTTACGTTATAAACTCTTTGTGTCAAAGACTGTCCTTAACGATTTTTGTACAATGGGGAAACCTGTGTGTGGTCATAGATGCTACCATAATTATATATTTTTCTGGCAGATGGATTTGGGAAGGGGTGTGTGAGTCGATACTCTATACATTTCTCCCAGCTATCATGGAGTGGTGTGAGGGGGAGTATTGGATTTGCAGCTTCTGCTGTTTCCATTCACACTTGGAGCTGCAATCCAGGAGTGTCCTGACTGCACAGGTCCAGGGCACAATCTAGCTTTAATATAAAATTCTACAATACTAGACGGTGGATGCAGAGACATTCAGAAAAACAGCAGTACAGTATAGCACTTCATTTGGTCTTGACAGCAGAAACACAGATGTCACAAGTCTTTATTTAATCTGTGCAGGTTTTCATAATTAATTTCATAATTAAAATCCTAGGAATGTGTGTATTTTTCTTCTTCCTTTGGGCCAGATTTTGACTTGTTATATTAAGTAGTAACTTTGCTAAGGGCCACACTGAAATCCAGTAAAGTGCTGCTTATTTTGACTAAGGGTGGCAAAATCTGGCCCATGATTCAATAATTCTGCATGGGCATTAACAAATAAACTGGCACGTTCCTTTTCCATGGAGCAACAATTGAAGGTTGATCTGCACACAAGAATTGCACTGGTTTAATTAAATCTGTATCTAAATCAATTTAGTTAAATCAGTAATCCAATTAAGATA